CATGTGCGCGGTCACGTCGGTACGTGGGAGAGAGTCTAGTTATTATAACCTGTGAATTACACACGTGTGCGCTCTCGGTCCTCACTCAGGGCTGAGAGAGATGATGGCCAATTCAGGCATCGTTAAGGTCATGTTATGGAACGAGAGAACGTGCCTGGTTTGGTTGATACGGCAACACCACGATGTCCGACTTGTTTGCTCAACTCTCCGCTGCATCAAGGTTATTCACTTTCCCTGCCAGCGGTTCCAGGCACGTCAACTTCATTAGTCTGACCGACTGCGAGATGCACACACACACAAGTGCATTTGGGCAGGCCCATCGATGGGCTAAGTAGTATCAACCGAACTGTAATACCATAATTATAGTCTCAGACTTGACTTAACAACGCCATCAGAAGCGTTGGCCTCGCCAGGGACCAAAGGGGCCTAAATCCATTTTCTATACATAGTAAATCCCCAATTCCGGTGTTCATCGTCTTTTACTGTTAGACAATACTTTGTCTAGCGATTGGCAATTATACGTAACACCATGGAAGTTAAGAACCCCATAATTCTGTAATACGAGACCGGCGGTGATAATGATTCACTTACTTTATTTTTTATGTATTATTTTATTTTTTTATTATTTGATGTTTCAACTATCACATGCTTTGTCTTTCTTATATATTAACTTTTATATTAATCTTACCTGTTATTTCCTGTTTTGTTTGATATATTTATTTTGCTTTCTCTTTTGCGCCCCCGCAATGTCTCACACGTATTACCAACGGTTCCGTATGACAGAATTCTGAGGACTTTCTTTTTCGTGGTGTTACCTGTAATAGATTGTTACTGGTGATTTTGACACCAACTTTACTCCATAATCCGGCCGCTGCATTCAGCATGCGGTCAACTGACCTTTGCTAACAATTTTTTTCAATTTTTACTATGGATACGTCGCTACGAATGGCCCAATGTACACGTGCGGTGCTACAACAATTTATAGCGGCTGCAATTTATGGAATTGCAAGTTACTACTCATTAGCTTTCAGTGCGTACCGCCGGTTGGCAGTACATGTGATAATAAAGGTTCACGCCGAAGACATTCACACAAAACATCTTTGTCACAGACGCTTTTATCTAATAAACAACGAAACCTAAAAGGTCTGCAGACGTGTCAGTCCCCACCGAAAAAGCATGAAATCCTTTCACTTCGACCAACTTGTAGTTGGTTGGATTGTTGTCTGTCTAAACGAGTCACAAGGTTTTTGCCTATTTTCTTTACTTACGAAAAAGATAACTTAGCGCAATTTACGCCTGAATGTTCGGCCATCGATTTTGATGCAGACTTCTGCGCTAATTAGTTTTGGGCGCTAGTAGAATTGCGACGCATCTACCGCCTGAACACGGCGTCCAGTGAAAGTCAAAAAGCCCATAGGCGGGGTAGGACGCAGGTGGTTGTCTCGGACGGATCCGTCCCTAAGCAGACCACCCCACCTGGCTCGAATCACAGCGGATTTATTGAAAGGTAAATAAGAGGCTTCCGCGTAAAGTTGACTACACTGTGTGAAGTTGAGTAAAGTAAGATGAAGCATCAGAGGATCCGAATCGAATATTTGGCCCCTTCCACCAGGAGTCGAAAGTAAAAGCGCACAACCGCCGCCCTATAAAAGAAGTGGTACTGTGCAAATGTGCTTTTTGTGGAAAAAACCTAGCTTTCTTGGTTTTACCTTAATCTCGAACATTCGAGGTAGAATCGAGGTACCTCCGAGATAAAGTCGATTGGGCACTATTGTTGTTGTCAGTAATTCATACCGCACTATGGCCTATGCTTGAGTTTAGTCTGTGTTTACTTTAGATTTTATTTTAGGTTAGTTGCAGTTCATTCCTGTTTCCTTTTGGGGAAAAAGCCTATATTTCTTTGTTTTACTTTAATCTCGAAAATTCGAAGTAGGTTGGAGATAGAGTCGCGGTAGAGTCAATTGGAAAATGTAGGTATTCCCGCGTCCCAACTCTAACCGAAACCTAAGCGTAACCTTATTCTTAATCCTAACACTTATTTTAATTCTAATTTCTCTCTTACTTAGTGCAGATCCACCTGTGTTGCGGAGTGTGCTTATTCTCTGCCCTGCGGACGCATATAAACGACCGCTTTCAAAACAACGATAAAATAATGGAATCCATACCCAAGCACACCATTATAATTGGATATACTTTTTTCCAGTAATATCCCAAAATACAGTATATTCCCTTTCCCATTTAATGTCCACTGAAATTCCGAAATATGTTTTAGATCTGAACGAATTACTTAAGAAGAGTTTTGATTATCGTGCAGTCCAATTTCAATATGTTTCAGTCACGTCAGAATGCCGGCTTTTGGACGAGCTTCTTTCTGATTCCCCGCAAAAAGTGCCTTCTAAAACGTGGCTTCTAGAGTACTATGCATCTTTCTCCCTGATGTGCAACGCCAAAAGCATTTTTCTTGTACTCATTGTGTGGTCAAGTACGGCTGCTTATCTGTTACACGTCAAAAAAGCTATATTTTGGTTTGAAAAACCCTCTAAATTGCCGAATAATTTTGAACCCTATCAGCCGTTAAACTTGAACTCGGTGTTTCGAAACTTGCACATACTGCATGTATTCTGTTTTAGGGAAAATCAGACATTTCTTTGCGCTGTGCGGAAGAAGTCACATTGCGCAGATACAATTTTGAAATGGATATTGATCGTGTTTTATACCTCGTGGATGACTTTGATATATCATAGATAAATCTTTCAAAATTTTCAAAAATCTCGTAGTTACAAAGTTTATTAAAATCAAAAGATGCCCCTTCCTCAAATCAAACACTGTAAGAGAGCGCAATTTGCTACCAAATGTGTACAAGGAAGAATACCTTGTGTGCATTTCCTGTAAAATAAGAGCATTGAGAATTAACGAGAGAATGTATTGTACATACATGGCCATTTTCAAGAGTATGATATTTATAGATAGTCAAAAGAAGCTCGTTTAAACGTCAGCATTCGGATGGGACCAAAATATCTTGAGATCAGTAGCACATTAATCAGTATTACAGTCCCGTTTGAGTAATTTGTTCGAATCGAAAGCACACTTCAGAAGTTGGGTTGACATTTCATGAGATAGAAGGTCTACTGCACATGCAATATGGGATAGATTTGTATATTTAAGGTTGTTCCGTTATATCGTGCTTTTTTTCTTCAAATACGGAGTGGAATAATTATTCTTAACAGTTAGATAATAGGCAGTTCACCATTTACGAGTTTGAGAAGGGTGTTATTGCAAAATAAAGGACGTCTTGACAATCTATTCGGTAGCAGTAGGTCTGTCAAGTTAGATGGCCTTATACATCCTACATGTGAGCCACATCGGAAAAGTGCATCAAAGCGGGCTGATACTGCCATGTAATTGTTTTCACACACGAAACCACTTTCGTGTCTCGGTGTATTTTATACGCAGCATGTTTTTTGCTCGTATTGAAAATTTGCATTGTTCAGAAGTATGCTTTTTACCTATCGCTATTTCTGTACGTTTGAAATTTTTCCCGATAATCAGCCATCAGAAGCAAGTGAAAGAAAGGATTTATGAACAGACAGCTTAAAAATCAAGGAAAAATCAAAAAGTACGTCAAAAAGTAATTTTTTTCAGCACCCAAGCAAACATGACTGGGAATTCCTCAATATTTTACTATTTCATTCCGTAAGAAAATATGCATACGTAAGAGGAGATCGAATAATTCTTTGCGTCTTTTCCGAGCGGCAACCACATCAGTTAATTTATTTGTTTTCCCGATTTAGATCTCATGGGAGACGATTACCCGATTCTCATTGGAGGAAATCCGAAGGGTATGCTTCAGGGCAGGACCATACGTTTTCCGCGGGAGGTCTACGCATACTTCAAAGGACGGCACAGACCTCATATGCAACCAGTTACAGTTCCAGTGATGCTTGGGGAAATTCACAACAACATCAAGGGCGATATAAATGCATTTAAACTGTGGAGCTACCTACGGTCTGATCAAATTGGTACCGAATCGAGCCGCCCAATGAAACGCTTGCATCAGATGGAGGTTAGCGTCTACTTGGTATATTTAAAATGCACTGAACAAAAAACCTTCCCTGATTTGTGTCCTGAAATCTTACGAAATAGATTAAACATCGTGGAGTTAGGATATTAAAATCCCATTTATGAACGTTCACCCGACCAATGACGGAACACATCTGTCCTGTTCTGCCTAGGGTCTAGACAGAGGCCCTGACAGCCGTATCAGCTGGCAATATAGGTAGATAGTATTGCCGGCAAAGACAAGGGAGACTATAATGGCCATTTC